CAAATTTGGGATCATCTGGTCGGACAGCCATCTAAATAAATTACGTAATCTAGTATGTGGAATAAAATGAAAATACCAGTTTAAGCTTACCTGGGGTTACTCGTCACACCAAACACAAAATATCATATAAACTATTGCACTGAACAAAAATGTGCGACCAACAACACACACACTTTAACGTCAAATGAACATAGCGGGATCTCCGATGTTGCCAATTTATGCACAAAAAATTAGTGAACATTTGAATTTTCTTTGGGTTGATGCGAAACCCCACTCAGCATTACAGGGTTAAGAAGAATAATCATGAAAAACAGGCGTGCCAATTATTTACAATTAAGTGCTCTGTGTAGTGACGCTGTTGGAAGGATAATTTCGAGGTCCACAACTCATAGAGAGGCCCACAAACTGGGATCTAGCACTTGCAAGGTAAGTTTTCTTATACACAAAAGTGAAGTAAAAACTCTAAAGTTGCACAACTTGTTTATAGGCCAAAGAAAAGCCACTATTAACTCCACTGCAAAAGAAAAATCGGCTTAGATGGGCTAAAGAACATAGACAATGGACACCTCAACAATGGTGTGCAATACAATGGAGTGATGAGGCCCGATTCAAAGTTTGTGTTGGTGACAGTCGCTGTAGAGTTATTCGCAAAAAAATTAAGCATTCCATGTTGACTGTCTGAAGAGAAAAGTGAAACTTCCAGCATCCATTATGGTCTGGGGCAGCATGTCATCAAAAGGAGTAGGAAAATTTCATTTTATTGATGGAAATGTGGATACAAACAAATATTTGGCAATTTTAGAAGAATCGCTTTTACCAGTGATGGAAGAATGTTTGACATCCGGCCAAGATTGTATGATTCAGCGAGATGGTGCAGCGTGCCATACCTCAAAAAAGGCTATAAAATGGATGGAAGGAAATAATGTACCACTTTTGAAATGGATTTCTAGCAGTCCAGATCTGTCATCTATTAAAACTTTGTGGCACGAGATGAAAACGGTTCTACGACAACATCCTGCTCGTACAATCACCGAACTTAGACAAAAGCTTCAAGAAATATGGGATTGTTTTACACGAAATTTTTGCCAAAACTTGATTAACACTATGCCCCAAAGAATTTCAGCCGTAATAAAAAATAAAGGTGATGTTACCCAATGGGAATCTTTCAATTAACTTCGCGCATTTATTCGCACATTGTTTATTTGTTCAGATGTTCTATTAGTTATAGGTCTAAGTGATTTCAAATATGTATTTTTTACGATTAGAGTGTATCTAAAATGTTTTTGAGAAAATAAATTGTTTTAGAAGTGAATAGTTTCGTCATGTTTAGTTTATAAAGGCATTTTTTGGTACAAATCTTGAAGTGGGCCAACTGAAGTGGGAAAGGGCTCGTATACTTATCTCAGCTGCGAGTTACAGAATTTAATACTCAAGCTATCCAGTAACACACTTTACTCATAAATCCGACATTTTGAAATTGATGCCTTCTTCAGGGTTATTCGTTTTTACTTTTTCACTCGTTTTGGATTAAGTTTTAATTACTAACTTGGTTAAAGTTAGTGTCATTTGATTTCTCAAAGTTTTTATATTGGTACATGCATCCACTGTCCTGTATTTTTTGTTTGTTAGTGCATGCTACTTCTAAGGCATACTCTAGATAGCGCTACGCTTTAGCTGCTGAGTTCTAGTGCACAGTCATGGTGAAAGGGTAATTTAAGAAAAACTGATTTTCAGTCGTCCTGTAAAAACCTGGTTCTAAGTACGGAAGTTCCATGGAACATTGTTTATGGCAACTTATCTTTTGTATTATAAATCCGAGTTTGCCATCGTACACTCGGTAACAACTTCTGTTGTTAGATTGCGTGCCGGATTTCCTCTAACAGCACTTGTAATGAGTCTCATTTTAAGATAATGCCCTTCTCAGTTTTTATGCTTTCCAAAGGTACCGTTAAACGTTTAATACCTGTACCTACTTCATGATGCCACCGTTTCAGTGATTTTTTTCAGCACAAACCTCTAATCCAGTCAGAGCGCTTAGAGGCGGTCATGGCCTTACTTACAACAGTGCTGCGGTGATATTGATTTCCAGAACTCAATAGTATTGTAGGTTCCTACCGCACTTGCGCATTACACTGTGAGAGAAGTAATCAATATTTGCTCTACTAAGGCTTTCGACTAACAGATGGCGCCTCGAAACGAACATTGGTAGATCACAGTGGCGCTCTACCAAAAAGTGGTAAAAGCATGAAACTATGCTTAGTACTTACCTTATGTGACCTTTCAACCAACAACTTTTAGTAAAACTTTAGTTACTTAATTCACTTCATCCCAATTAACATACCATTGTTGGAGACTTACTTGTTTTTTCATGCTAAGACAATCTTCATATGATTGGGAACTCTCCTGAATTTTAAATAAGAGCAAAATATTGGAAACCATGAGCCAGAATGCTTGTTAAGCATTAGTATTCCCTATTGCGACCTACTTAAAGGATTTCTAAATATTTGAAAGACTTCTTCGATAGTTTAAGCAAGTTATCTCACTTGCATAGCAAGAGCTCATCTACCATTGTTATTAACTGCCAAAACGAGCTAATAGGTAGGTATAGTTAAAATGGAGTTGCTAGGTAATTCTCAAATTTATCTACGATTGTATATTCTAATGGAGCTGACAAGAGTATGACTAATCAATTGATCGGTTATTATAATCTGCTTTCATAACGTAGGACGGATGCGAATTAATCGACGTTTTGGTTTTATATAAAATCAGACGAGTGTTAAATGCTAGAATGTGTCTGTGTCAGTTATTTTTAATATGGTACCAAATCCGAAGAAATATACTAAGTGACATATAAATCCGAACACCCAGTTTAAATGGTTTTATTTTAATAAAAGTTGGTGAATGAATTTATCTTACTGTAGATAACAAGTGAAAAAAATTTCAGCCTTATCAGTTGGACATTCCGGTTTTTATACTGCTTTTTTTTAATTCACTAACGCTCTAAAAATGAATATTTCAGCCGCAGTAAAGAATCAACGTTGGCGGATTTTGGTTCTTGACATCCTTTACGATCGGTTACGATGCCTAGAGTATGGAGACCTGTACGATTTCGTCAACTTAGTGAGTTTGATAGGGGCCGTATAGTGGGACTTCGGGAAGCTGGACTTTCTTTTCGGGCAATTGCAGTTAGAGTGCAAAGAAGTGTAGACACTGTGGTTAGGTGTTGTCAGGCATGGCTTCGAGAAGGCCGTACGCAAAGAGCAAGGGGCACTGGACGCCGCCGTAGAACAACAGACCGTGAAGATCGCCGCCTAAGATTATGTCCTTAAGGGACCGTTTCTCCACTACCAGGTCCATTGCAAATGAATGGTTTGCAGAACACGGAAGACCTATTGGCATGCGAAGTGTTTACCGACGAATGAGAAGTTTTGGCTTGTTTTCATACCGGCCACACTGGGTCCTCCCTTTAACTCGAGAACACCGACGTAATCGCCTTGAGTGGTGCAGACAACGGTCACTCTGGGATCAGGAATGGAACTGTATTGTCTTTAGTGAGGAGTCTCGATTTTGTTTAGGCATGCACGATGGTCGTGCCAGGGTTAGATGGCGACGTGGTGAAAGGAGGAATCCACAGTTTTTTGTTGAAAGACATGTTCATCACACTGTTGGAGTTATGGTTTGGGGTGCTATAGCTTATGGTTCCAGGTCACCTTAAATCTTCATCAGAGGTAAGAGGTTATATCCGCGAAGTTCTAGAACCCCATCTTTTACCCTATCTTGACACCCTGGCAGATCCAACTTTCCAACAAGATAATGCCCGACCACATGTTGCAAGAGTCACAATAGACTTCTTTCAACATAATGATGTCACATTGTTACCATGGCCACCAAGATCTCCCGACTTATCCCCAATTGAGCACGTGTGGGATATGATGGGTAGGAGATTGCTCAATTTGCAACGTCCTCCTCAGACTCTAGAAGCACTTCGAGAGGAGTTGGTGGTTGCCTGGAATGAGATACCACAGTAGGACATTGACCACCTGATCAGAAGCACGCAGACGCGTTGGAGAATGCGTAGCACATCAGGGTGCATCCACACATTATTAAAGGTCAAACGGCTTTAAAGCAGTGCAATCATTTTTAAATGTTTGTCATTTACTTATTATGCTTCATTAAGTACTTATACAAAATTTTATTAAAATAAAACCATTTAAACTGGGTATTCGGATTTATATGTCACTTAGTATAAATTGGATCTAAAAGAGTGAGTGTCGATTCAGTTATCCTAGCCGGTTCAGATATGACCTGTTTCAGATTATAAGAATCAAGGCATTTAGTCAAGTTGTTACAAACTAAAAACAAATTAACATTGATAGTGGAGGACGACATGTTGAACACCTTCTTTAAATACAAAAAAGTGCAGTGTGGGTTTTAAAAAGAAAAACAATGTATGTATCAAAACTATGTTCGCTATTTATAAGTGGATTTTTTTATTAGGTTCAATAAACTTTCACACACCAGGTGAAGCGCTAAGACAGTTAGTGGTAAGTCCGTTTTTTTTAATTGTTTGCATTTTACGAGTACATTATCAAATAATGAAATAATACCTAAGAGCCAAAAATGACAAACTCTATCTTTATTTACACTGCGTTCCGTCACAATTTGCATCTGGCATTGCGGCGTTGTCTGATTTTATTTTACTTTAAAGTCGCTTTTCTCTAAAAAAATGCCGTTTTGACCCGCATGTTATATGAAACTTTCTGCTTCTTTTAACCTCCTCCATCACCCACTTAAATAATGACTATCTTAACGTTTACACCCTGTATATCATAATGAATTTTTAGACTGGAAGCAATTTTCCATATGTTTTGTGCCTGGTTCTTTCTTTGGCACTCGATGAAGAACCTGGTTTTCCAATCACCCTAGCCTAGCTAGGTTGGAACGGTCCGAAAATTATTTATCAGAATATGATAACGAGATGATATTAAAGAAAGACTTACCTGTGCGACTTTTTCACCCATTTTCGGCGTATGAATCCCGCTTTGAAAGTACTTTGCCGATCCATTGTCTTGGAACGAAAACTGCAACAAACAAAACACGTAAAACTACAAACTAACACAAACGACACTTCCACGAACCATAAATTCACTTGAAGCGATTGACACATCATGAAATTGCGGCATTTCCAATGTTTTCAGAGGTTTTTCTTCTTACAACAAAACACAGTTTAAATATAAAACGCGGTTTTACTCGCCCAGCATTATAGAGCAGCTTGTTAGTTTTTTCGGAAAAGCAGTTTTATTTATTCATAAAAATTATAAATAACTTTGTTTACTGATCTCAAAATAGACTTGGATTCGATGATAGAGTGTTTGGTCGATCGTTATTAATCAATATTTTTGCTAGTTTGATTGTTTTAACAAGTATGTGGGCCGTAAATATTAGTTTCGTACATGCAAACATGCCCACAGTTGATTCATATTAGCATGTAAAACTGTTTTATAAGGTAATAAAGCCTTTTTAATAAATCGCGTATTTTGGATACAGTAGATTCAACATCAAACCGAACAAAGAGCAGGTTACACGCTGTCATTTTAAATAGTCACACCCGATGATAAACACAAGATGAATCTTTCTGTTTGGAATTATGTTTAGATTATACAGGGTGTTTCAGAACTAAGGGATCAAATTTCTAGGGGTTATTCAGTGTAACAGTAGAAAATATTTGAGTATAGGGACCCATATATCCGGAAAAGTGTATCTACGGCACTACGGCCCTAAGACGCGTTAAAATTTAGAAATACGATGAATTGCCTAAATAGGATTTAAAGCATTTAATTTTTGCCTTTTGTACAAGATACGAGGGATGTCTTTTAAGCTTTGCATATGGAAATAAAGCAACACGCTAGGTAGTTTTAAATTACTGAATCTTAACCTCACCCTTTAATAAACTTAAATTCAAAGTTTTACAACAATACGTGCAGTGTTCTCACTATAGTGAATTTTTAAGTGTCACCAAGTCATTAGAAAAGTGGAACTCAACCGAGAACATTTTTGCACCATAATTCATTACAACTTTCAGAGACAATTATCGCAACAAGAACGCCTTGCTGAGTTATAATTTATCTGAAGTCACTGGAAACACTGTGAAATACCGGGTGCGTTTTATATATCTATATTTAACACGCTCTGTTGCTGCAAAAATCGCCAAATTTCGCAGCAAATATCCCCCGTATAAGATCAAAGGCAGTTTCACCGGTCCACGTGCAGTAAAGCACGCCTATGCGTGGACATAGCCAATGAGAAAGCGTGTATTTCAGAGCTCCGAACAAGTGCAGGTGGCTACTGAAAATTGAAACAGTTTAGCCAGTGCCGTGTAGCGGTGAATAAACGTGTTTTCTTTAGCCTGTCCGTGTTTTTTCATAGATTTTATTAGTTTGTGTGTTTTTGACTTTTGAATACTCAGTTTACTTGTTGATTTAATTGTTATGTTGATTGTTCTTGTGTGTCCTAAATATGGCTCTTTGGAGACCTTGGGAAAATGCTCCAAGCCACGAGGAGATGGTTGATGAACCTGTGCAGGCAGAATTCTTTCATAAAGATTTAGAGGAACAGATCCAAAGAGTAATCCTAAATATGTGTGATTGTCTGAAAAACGAAAATCCAGATTCCTCGCAAAATCAAATTTTAAACAGAATTTGTATCCTGACAAAAATCAGTCGGTCTACCATTTATCGGGTTATAAAAAGGGGAGATGTAGTCAACCATTCCTTCCACAGAAAGCACATAGGGCAAGAATTAAAAAGAATGGACGTGGGTTTTCAGGAAGATATTCGTCGTATAATATACGGATTTTATAAAGAAAATTTGGTGCCCACGTTGGAAATGATACGGGATAAATTAAAAGATTATCCTGAAGATTTTTTCAATTACAAATGCTTAGACTCACTGCACTGTATTGTAAAACTGTGTGGTTTTCAATACAAAAAATTAGATAAAAGAATGGTGATTATGGAGTCGTCTCGAATCGTTGAATTGCGCCAAGAATTTGTGCACAAAGTTAAAATCTATAGAGAGCAGAAAAGAAATCTGGTTTACCCGGATGAAACGTGGTATGATACCAATGATGTTGTGCAGTACGGCTGGGTTGACGACAGCAACAACTGCATTTCAAATGCACCATGCAACCGTGGAAAACGAATCATTATTCTCCATGCTGGCAGTGAAAATGGATTTATACCTAATGCCTTGCTGTTATCTGCCAAAAATATCAAAGAATCATGTGCCGACTATCATGAGGACATGACCTCCGACTTATTTGAAAAGTGGATAGAGCAGCAGTTAATACCAAACGTTTCCCCAAATTCAGTGATCATTATAGACAATGCGCCATACCATTCCCGACAGCAAAACAAAATTCCGAATACAGGCACAAAAAAACAAGACGTTATTGATTTTATGAAGAATAAGGGAATCGAAATACCACAAAAATCAACCAAAGCCATATTATTGGATCTTATTAAAAGACAAAAATTTGAAAAAGAGTATGTTGTTGACAATCTGCTTCAGCAAAATGGCCATGAAGTATTACGTCTACCACCCTATTACTGCATTTTTAACCCGATTCAGTTGGTCTGGGCTGCTTTAAAAAAAAGTAAGAAAACATAATCACACCCCTCAGATAAGTGAATCGCTATTGGCCACAATAAGAGATGCAGTATCTCATATTGCTGCCACAGACCTATGGAAGCAGTGTTCTAGGCATATTATTGAAAAAGAAAATGAATATTGTGTTTTGCCTCCTGTAAATCCCGTTGTAATTCCTCTACAAGATGATTCTAGCGACAGCTCCGAAGGCGAGGATGATATATAAATACCTATTATGTAAGTCTTTATATACCTTTTTATAAGCCTACCTGCTATGTAAATATTTGCCTATGTCAAACGTTGGAATTCTGTAATTTTTCCATTTCTTAACTTTCAGTCAACATAAATTAAACTCCCAATATAAGTATTTTTTATCCCAAATCAAAAAAATAAGAAGATGGTAAAATCCATTTATTGTGATATAAAAACATTATTATTATCGTTCTAAATAAATGACCGCACGCCTATGATACGTCATGAAATTACAAAGGACGCGCCGACCAAAGGTTTTTATGCTATTTCATGTGACTTCAGATAAAGTATACTGTCTGTTTTCGGAAAATGTCGATGCTGTGCGCAAACTCATCATTGAAGATAGACATGTGACATATCGCGAGATTGAGGCGTCCTTGAAGATCTCAAAGACCTCAATTCAAAAAATTTTACATGAAGAATTAGGAGTAAGAAAATCAGTTTTTCGTTGGATACCCCACCTGTTGACTGAAGAGCAGAAAGCCAGGATTCATTGGTGTCAAAAAACGCTTGACCATTTTAGTTCCGGAAACTCAAAAAATGTGTACAGCATTGTTAGTGGTGATGAATCGTGGATTTACTGTTATGAACCAGAAAATAAACGACAGTCGGCTGTTTGGGTGTTCCAAGGTGAAGAAAAGTCAACAAAAGTCATCCGTTCTCGAAGTGTTTCGAAAAAGATGGTCGCGACATTTGTGTCAAAAGCGGGTCATATTGCAACAATTCCTCTTAATGAACAAATAACTGTTACTGCGAATTGGTATACCACCACTTGTTTGCCAAAAGTCATCACCCAGCTTCGAAAAATCAACCTCGAAAGAAGAATCATCCTCCACCAAGACAGTGCAAGCTCGCATACAGCCCAAAAAACCAAGGCAGTATTTCACGGAAGAAAACGTGGAATTATTGGACCATCCTCCATATAGTCCTGATCTAAGCCCTAACGATTTCTTTACTTTCCCGAAAATTAAAAACAGACTGCGTGGTCAAAGGTTCCAGTTACCAGAAGAAGCAGTTGACGCATTCAAAAATGCCGTTTTGGATCTGCCAGCAAACGAGTGGAATGTGCTCCGAAAATTGGTTCGACCGCATGCAGATGTGTATGAATCTTCGAAAAACAATAAAGTCATTTAAAACTACCTACCGTGTTGTTTTATTTCCAAATGCAAAACTTAAAAGACATCCCTCTTATCGACGTTAACGATAAATAAACAAACCTCAACAGATTTCCATTGCTTACTTCTTTCCGTAGACACCGAACTACTCCTGGTGCACTTGTTTCTGGAGCCATTGTTTTCACACAAAATTGACACTTGTATCATAGCTACCTAAGCACAGTACCGTCATTCGTCATCCGATTTTCCGGGATCCTTACATCATTTGAGATACGTATCGCAGCAAAAATTGGCTAAAAGCGGAATATCTTTACGGTAAACATTTATCACCGCAAAGCAGTTTCCACTCACACTGACGGATTGATAGCGCGGAGCAATGTGGCGATTTGAGATCGGAAATATGAGTGGGCGATTATGCTCGTAGAGCGGGGGAGTGATGTGAGGCGACGTCGTTTGTAAACCAAATATTATACAATTGTTCTTTGAGAAACTAAGCATACAATTAAATACCGGGTGTTTCAAACTCGACCGCCGTGTATTCATGTAACCAACAAAATACTGCCTAGAAAGTTTCGAAATTCAAAGTACTTCCGAAGAGAGACGGAAAAACCAATTTTTCCTAAATTTGTTTTGCCACTTTTTTCCTCGTAACTAGAATTTCAATATGACGTTTCGTCAGCTGTCCTTCACCATCACCTTTATTTTTTCTCAGCGACGCTATATTGGACTTTTGCATAGGTGAACAGAGTTTCTAATTCTGATTCCAAAAATGTATATGTAATATGTTATACATTGACATTGCCAAAACTTAGCTATTTCAAGAAAAAGAAACACAGAATTTCCTAAGTAGGTATTGGAACTATCAGATAGTTTCATATGCCAGATTTATCGCAAAATCAGGTTTAGTTTTCCTGACTATATCTGCGATGAAATTTCAGAATAAACTACATGTTATTGCGACTTTTTCCCCTCTAGAAGATTCCTCCTTTCACCACGTCGCCTTCTAACCCTGGCACGACCATCGTGCATGCCTAAACAAAATCGAGACTCGTCACTAAAGACAATACTGTTCCATTCCTGATCCCAGAGTGACCGTTGTCTGCACCACTCAAGGCGACTATGTCGGTGTTCTCGAGTTAAAGGGAGGACCCAGTGTGGCCGGTATGAAAACAAGCCAAAATTTCTCATTCGTCGGTAAACACTTCGCATGCCAATAGGTCTTCCGTGTTCTGCAAACCATTCATTTGCAATGGACCTGGTAGTGGAGAAACGGTCCCTTAAGGCCAATAATCTTAGCCGGCGATCTTCACGGTCTGTTGTTCTACGGCGGCGTCCAGTGCCCCTTGCTCTTTGCGTACGGCCTTCTCGGAGCCATGCCTGACCTAACCTAACCACAGTGTCTACACTTCTTTGCACTCTAACTGCAATTGCCCGAAAAGAAAGTCCAGCTTCCCGGAGTCCCACTATGCGGCCCCTATCAAAGTCACTAAGTTGACGAAATCGTACAGGTCTCCATACTCTAAGCATCGTAACCGATCGTAAATGATGTGAAGGACCAAAATCCGCCAACGTTGATTCTTTACTGCGGCTGAAATATTCATTTTTAGAGCGTCAGTGAATTAAAAAAAAGCAGTATAAAAACCGGAATGTCCAACTGATAAAGCTGAAAATTTTTTCACTTGTTATTTACAGTAAGATAAATACATTCACCAACTTTTATTAAAATAAAACCATTTAAACTGGGTGTTCAGATTTATATGTCACTTAGTATATTTGAAACGCATGCGCTTCTTTACCTTCTGTCTCCTAATATTGGTCATCATTGGTACCAAATTCTATTCGATTTTCTGCTTTCTTAAGGAGAGCTTCAAATGTCAGGCTCATCCAGTTTCTCAACCAGATAAGTATACTTTTTCCTATGCCACACCTTCCAAATGTTCAAAGTTTCCGCATGTCTTAATTATTATTTGTCTACGCCAGACGGAGACAAATAATTCAACAAATATACAAAAATAGAGCTAGACCTTCTAACGGGTGATTTCTTAAGGGGTATAGGTTTTGATTTTCAAAAAAAAAACACAATAAATTTGAAAAAACGATTAAATCTTTATTTGAGTCGATAGAACGGTCGATATAATTTAATGTTTAAAGATTATTTCATGTAAATGTTGGCCGCGGCTCCGCTTTAGATGGCCCATGCGCATGGTCCAATTTTGGCACACTCTCTCCAACATATCGGCCGGTATCTCACGAATAAATGCTTCAATATTGGCTTCGAGTGCGTCAATCGTTGCTGGTTTATCCCTGTAGACATTAGCCTTAACATGGCCCCGCAAGAAATAGTCCAACGGCGTTAAATCACACGATCTAGGCGGCTAATTGACGGGCCCCAAACGTGAGATAAACTGTTCACCGAACTCGCCTCTCAATAGGGCCATTGTTTCGTGTGCGGTGTGGCATGTGGCACCGTTTTGCTGAAACCACATGTCAGCCAAGTCCAGCTCTTCCATTTTGAGCAAAAAAAAGTTTGTTATCATCGCACGGTAGCGCTCGCCATTCACAGCTACGTTCCGGCCATTGTCGTCTTTGAAGAAGTACGGCCCGATGATGCCACCGGCCCATAATCCACACCAAACAGTGATTTTTTCGGGATGCATTGGTAGCTCTTGCAATGCTTCTGGCTGGTCTTCACTCCAGATGCGGCAATTTTGCTTGTTAACGTACCCATTCAACCAGAAATAAGCTTTGTCGCTGAACACAATTTTTCGATAAAAATGTGGATCTTCCTCCATCTTTGCCAGCGCCCATTCACCAAATTGGAAACATTGTGGGAGGTCTTGTGGCTTCAATTCTTGCACCAGCTGTGTCTTATAAGGTTCTACATCCAAATCATGTCGCAACATTTTCCACGTAATGGAGTAACAGAGGCCCAATTGCTGCGAACGGCGGCGAATCGACATTTCACGGTCATCACTAACACTGGCGGATACAGCCGCAATATTTTCTTCAGTCCTCACTCTACGTCTGCGAGTTGGTGGTTTAATGTCCAATAATGTAAACTGGGTTCGAAATTTAGTCACAAGCTTCCGAATAGCTCCCTCAGTCGGCCGACCAAATTGCCCATAAATTGGAAGCAGTGCTCGATGCACTCTCTTAACCGATCATGAATTTTGATAGTAAAATTCAATAATTTGCAAGCGTTGTTCGTTCATAAGTCGATTCATGGTTAAATTATAGACCAAACTGAACAAGTTTGACAATGACACAAGACACGATTCACGCGTCATCTGTCAAAAACAGTGTTGCCAAGAAGATACTAGCAAAAAATCACCCATTAGATACTTTCAGAAGCCCAAAAATGAAACTCGAGACAGAATAAAACGAAGTCTGGGAATAATCTATCGTGTTGTTTTACTGAGTAACTGATTTGCATATTTTTTAGTTCATCCTCGCAATCGTTGAAAAGAACAGATGTGATGCCAACGTCGATATCTATAAGAAATAAAATGTTTGGCAAGATTCACAAGTTTGGAACATTCTTTTAAAAAACCTTGGGGTGTTGCTAGAGTTTTGCTTTATACTTTAATAATACGAAATCAGAGTTACATAAACTAAATTATACAAAAAGAAGAACAGAAGAAAATCAAGGCCGTTGAATATCGATGCAATGTAATCGCGCTTCAGTATAAAATTTCTCATACTCAGGAAAATAGTCCGTCAAGATAAACTAAAGCTTGCATGCCTGTTTTTTTGGAAAGGTTTGTGAATGTTCACGGGAGCTTACAACAATATTACTTGAACAGTTATAAAAATAGTGTAACTATAATCGTTAGATTGAAGGAATAATTTCTGGAATTTACGGAAAAACATATCTTCGTATATGCCAGGTCATTGCGATGCAAATGGAAGTATCGAATTAAAATATTGTCGAATCTCAATTTACCTTCACTATATGCCATTATCAACATTGTGTAACCAATAAAAACACAAGAATTTATGTTTGCCTTTGAAGTTGGTTGCAAGATTAAATCTGTTGGCTATGCTAGCTTTGTGTGTTTGAATTATTTACTCTGTACAGTCGTTGATCAAGTAGCAATAGAGACTAAAATAATAAGCAAGCAATTTAGCACTCAAAACACATGGTTATTAAAGCATGTAGTAAAACTACTATATTTATTAGCTCTGAAATACAGCGACAGAATATTTTCGATTTGGTTATTTTAGAGGCAAGATAAATGTTTTCTAGTCAATTTGAACTGAAGGCGATAAAAATTGTGTGGAATAAATTTACTTAGTGCTTGCTGTGCACCGACTTAAATCTGTCTTACATTTATGGAACGGAAAAGTCCTAAGCATGATTAGCGACAAGTATAATACCAGTTCTCAAATTTTCTAGCCCCTTAAGACACTTTGATAAGCACCAGAAGACGAAGTTGGGTTTCTTTTATAACTCAGAAGCATCCACGGTTCTTGACTACGCCTAAACCGATTAAAAAAATCTATAAGGTATTTTCATTATTGGCATAGCAGTATCATCGTGATAAAATTTCTCCCAAGGCAGACACACAGACAGATAGACCGACGAGAATGAGTGACATGGTTTTTCGTGATCTACATGTCATATAATATACTAAGTGACATATAAACACCCAGTTTAAATGGTTTTATTTTAATAAAAGTTGGTGAATGTATTTATCTTACTGTAAATAACAAGTGAAAAAATTTTCAGCCTTATCAGTTGGACATTCCGGTTTTTATACTGCTTTTTTTAATTCACTAACGCCCCTAAAATGAATATTTCAGCCGCAGTAAAGAATCAACGTTGGCGGATTTTGGTTCTTGACGATCGGTTACGATGCCTAGATTACGGAGACCTGTACGATTTCGTCAACTTAGTGAGTTTGATAGGGGCCGTATAGTGGGACTTCGGGAAGCTGGACTTTCTTTTCGGGCAATTGCAGTTAGAGTGCAAAGAAGTGTAGACACTGTGGTTAGGTGTTGTCAGGCATGGCTTCGAGAAGGCCGTACGCAAAGAGCAAGGGGCACTGGACGCCGCCGTAGAACAACAGACCGTGAAGATCGCCGCCTAAGATTATTGGCCTTAAGGGACCGTTTCTCCACTACCAGGTCCATCGCAAATGAATGGTTTGCAGAACACGGAAGACCTGTTAGCATGCGAAGTGTTTACCGACGAATGAGAAGCTTTGGCTTGTTTTCATACCGGCCACACTGGGTCCTCCCTTTAACTCGAGAACACCGACGTAATCGCCTTGAGTGGTGCAGACAACGGTCAC